AGTAAAACCAAACCAGGGACAGTAAACGCTACGCTATCAAATAAGTAAATCCTTCTTTGTAAAACAGCTCCTAAGTTGATATTGATCACTGCCCGGCTTTCCTCACAGATTTGGTGGCAGTAATTTTACCCTCCTTCACAATGTTATTGTTTTTACTGTTGTATTGTGGGCTCGGCCTCATGTAAGCCGCACCGAGTCCCTTGGGGAGATGGTAGAGGGGTACAAATAAAGTTATTATTATTATTATTATTATTATTTGTGGAGGACACTAGCAGGGCTCTAGGACATGTTCATGGTGCTCGCTATAACCTGCAGTATCATTGGAGGGATGGCCTCAAATATGTTCAGTTGTTAATCAATTCCTGTTTGCTGTGTGCCACAGGAAAGGGGAGGAAAGGGCTAAAGGAGAGGCAGTGAGCAGAGTCATACAAATTTTGCACCCATGGAGATAGAAAGGAACACTGGGATGCCTGTGGTAGAGGAAACATATAGAATCTAGGATGAAATTGTCCTCATCTGAAAGCCTTCACTCGTGTGGTGGGCAGAATAGTGGGCAGTGTTGTGTTGTGTGTGGAAAGGGGAGGAAACGGCTAAAGGAGAAGCAGTGAGCGGGGTCATACAAATTTTGCACCAATGGAGATAGAAAGGAACACTGGGATGCCTGTGGTGGAGGAAACATATAGATTCTAGGATGAAATTGTCCTCATCTGAAGGCCTTCACTCGTGTGGTGGGCAGAATAGTGGGCAGTGTTGTGTTGTGTGTGGAGGACACTGGCAGGGATCTTGGACATGATCTTGGCGCTCACTATAACCTGCAATGTCATTGGAGGAGGGGCCATTGGTGTCTCCTGAGCAGTGGGAGCTATAGCTGTTTGTGGAAGCTCGCCATCCCAGCCACACACATACATATTTTCACTTTTATTATGTGTATAGATATTATTATAATTGCATTATATTATATTAATGTTATATTATATTATTATAATATGCTACACTACATAACCCAATTTTTGTTCCTGAGTTAATAATGTTGTTTCCTAATTGGCTCAATCAACAAAACATGGGAAAAGTTTATGAAACTGCACAAACTTTGTTTTTGCAGGAAGGACATCTTGCTATTACTCTAGTTCTTCAGTGAAGATCTCGTCCGAGTCTCAACCAATTCAGCCAAATTTGTGGCAACAACAAAAATGAAGTTTCTGGAACAGAACGACTTTCAAAGTAAGGACCGCACAACTAAACAGGAAAAAACACTCTCAAATCAGAAACAGATTTCCCCCCCGAATTAACAAGGTAGGCTCTGCAGAGAAGATCACAGAATCCTAGAGTTGGAAGAGACTTGGTGGGCCATCCAATCCAACCCCATTCGGCCAAGAAGCAAGAAAATGGCCTTCAAAGATGTCACTAAATGAGGAGAACCTGGATGGATGTGCCCCCAGTCTCCCCCTCCTCGTTCTCCCTCCCCTTGCCACCACCAGCCTTCCTTTTGCCTCGTCTTTGCTTCCACCGCAGTCACTGACCTCGTATGGACATTTCAACGTTGCCACAGAAAAGCATTATGCAATCAACTGAGCGGGACTAAAACCACAGGAGGGTCTCACACACACATTTTACTTGGGAGCCATGGGTTCAAATGACAGAAAAGGAGATGCCTTTGGACCTTAGGAAGAATTTCCTTCCCATATGAATAGCTGTTCAGCAGTGGAACTCTCTGCCTCAAGAGTTCACTGGAAGTTCCTTCCTTTTAGAATCATGGTGCTGGAAGAGACCTGGTGGGCCATCCAGTCCAATGGGGATGAGGGTTTTTCTGGGCTTGAGTCAAGTCCAGGCCTTGCTGAGAAGCCCGAGGTGTCTCATGAATGGAGTGTTTCTCCTGCAAATTCACAAGGTCACATTCCTGGGAGAGTCCCACAGCAGCCTTTCTCTGAGAAACTGTCTTTTGAGGATGATTTGTTAGGTGCAGAATTTAATGACTTTGAAGACAGAATCATAGAGTTGGAAGAGACCTTGTGGGCTATCCAGTCCAACCCCATTCTGCCAAGAAGCAGGAAAATCTCATTCAAAGCACCCCTGACAGATGGCCATCCAGCCTCTGTTTAAAAGCCTCCATAGAAGGAGCCTTCACCACACTCCAGAGCAGAGAGTTCCACTGCTGAACACCTCTCACAGCAGTGGAACTCTCTACCTCGAAGTGTGGTAGAGGCTCCTTTTAAGCAGAGGCTGGATAGCCATCCATCAGGAGGGCTTTGATTGTGCTTTTCCCGCCTTGCAGAAAGAACAGGGGGTTGGACTGGATGGCCCTTGGATGCGTCCCTCCCAAATCCAGGATTCTAGGTAGAAGGAATCATAGAATCAAAGAGTTGGAAGAGACCTCATGGGCCATCCAGTCCAACCCCCTGCCAAGAAGCAGGAATACTGCATTCAAATCACCCCTGACAGATGGCCATCCAGCCTCTGTTTAAAAGCTTCCAAAGAAGGAGCCTCCACCATACTCCGGGGCAGAGAGTTCCACTGCTGAACGGCTCTCATAGTCAGGAAGTTCTTCCTCATATTCAGATGGAATCTCCTCTCTTGTAGAGGACAACCCCAACACTGCCTCACACTTTAGGAATCTATTAGGGCATCGCTATTAGGGATCGTAGGCGTGAAATGCCTACGATCCACATCCCACTGCTTTCAGGTATCCGACTCCATGTCAGAAGCTACTTTAGGTAAAGGCAAAGGTTTCCCCTTGATGTTAAGTCTAGTTGTGTCCGACTCTGGCACTCATCTCCATTCCTAAGCCTAAGAGCTGGCATTGTCTGTAGATGCCTCCAAGGTCACTTGGCCACTGGTATGACAGCATGGAGCGCCGTGACCTTCCTGCAAGAGCGGTACCTATTAATCTACTCACATTTTGCATGCTATCTTGGCCACTGGTATGACTGCATGGAGTTGGCAGAAGCTAGTTTGGCAGAAGCTGGGGCTAACAGTGGAAGCTCACCCCACTCCCTAGATTTGAACCACCACCCTTTTAGTCAGCTACTTTGAATGCCTATAAATATAATAATTTCTATTTTTAAAGTATGCCTGTCTGTCCGGCGCACAAAGGCTGTTGTGGGGTGAAGTGGCCCTCTGGGATGTCACTGGGAAAGAAAGAAAGGGATAGAGGGAGGGAAGGATGAGATATACATCAAGAATAAAGGCAAGCTTGTGAGGCCTCATCTCCAGCAGAGGGGCCAGAGCTGGGCTGCTTCCCCATTTGCAAGCTTGACGGGAAGGACGCGCCAAGACCGCAGCACGACCAATGCGCAAAGACAAGCCAGGGAGATGACTCCTTGGCAGTCAGGTTAGTACAGCAGTGGAAGGAAAGAAGAAGAGCAGGCTTTGCTTCCCCCCCCCCCCAACAAAAAATAATGCTGACCCATGCTTTGTTTTATACTTACTGGTCCAGTACAGGCGTAACCCCGGCTCTGCGAGAACAGTGACCGAGTCTACCCAGGAGGGTGGCCTTCATCCTTTTTGTGTGGCAATGTCTCCCTGCCCTTCCAATCCAGCATTAATGGAGGCTGGTGTGACGTAACCAGGGTGGACCTGATCACGAGCCTATTCGGTTTGCAGGCTTCGAGTCCTGATTACACACTGGAAGGTCTGGAAAAACCCCAGAAAAATGGGAGAGGGAATGCCCAGGGGGAAAAAAAATGAAAGATTGGGGGGGGAAACAGAAAAAATGAAAAAAAAAATGGGAAAAAAACAGAAAAAATAGTGAAACAGAAAAATGGGGAGGGGCGATGGGAAAATTAGGGAAAAACAGAAAAATTGGAAAAACTTGGAAATAATGTGAAATGGAAAAAATAGGGAGGGGGGAAATTGGGGAAAAAAGAAGAAAAAATGGGGGGAAACCGGAAAAAAATAGTGAAACAGAAAAATGGGGAGGGGCGATGGGAAAATTAGGGAAAAACAGAAAAATTGGAAAAACTTGGAAATAATGTGAAATGGAAAAAATAGGGAGGGGGGAAATTGGGGAAAAAAGAAGAAAAAATGGGGGGAAACCGGAAAAAAATAGTGAAACAGAAAAATGGGGAGGGGCGATGGGAAAATTAGGGAAAAACAGAAAAATTGGGAAAACTGTGAAATGTAAAAAATAGAGAGGGGGGAAATGGGGGGGGGAAGAAAAAAATGGGGGAAAACCGGAAAAAATAGTGAAACAGAAAAATGGGGAGGGGCGATGGGAAAATTAGGGAAAAACAGAAAAATTGGAAAAACTTGGAAATAATGTGAAATGGAAAAAAATAGGGGGGGGGGAAATTGGGGGGGGGGAAAAAGAAAAAACCCCAAAAAATTGGGAAAAAATGTGAAACGGAAAAATTAGAGGGGGAAGAACGGGAAAATTGGGTGGAAACAGGAAAAAAATGAAAAATGGGGGAAAGCCAGAAAAAAAGGGAAACGGAAAATGGGGGGCAGGGAACGGGAAAATTGGGAAAAAAGAGAAAAACCGAAAAAAATGGGAAAACATGAAAATATGGGGGGGGGGGACTGGACTGAAAAAATGGGGGGAAACCAGAAAAATACCAGGAAAATTGGGGAAAACTTGGGGGAAAGCCCTGTTTTCCCTCCCCACTTTTCCGTTTCCCACCAAGTTTTCCCATCTCTGATCTTGATCAACAGGATAAACCTTGGTTAGATCCTGCAACCCTTGGGTTCACACGAAACATAGCGTCCTGTTAATGCTGGGCAAGTTGGTTGGGGAGAGCATCGCCGCACCCGGAGCAAGTAAGGCGCATGCATGCATCCACCCATGGGAAGGGCTTTGGAGTCACGGTTCGCCAGGAGCCAGGGTTATGCCTGAACGGGGCCCCGGTCTGTTTTTCGCTCAGATTCCAGGCCAGAATCAAACCTTGCGCCTTGTGCGTTGTTTGCTTGTTTGTTTGCTTAGCAATCACGACAAAGACGACACACAGCAAAGCACACTTCACTTCCCAGAGACGGACGGCAAAGAGAAACACCTGCCTGTGACGTACCTTCCGACCCATTTCTTCGTTTCGGTACTTCCTGAAATAGCCTGTTCAGGTTCTGGCCTGGATTCTCTGTTGAAAAACAAGTGGGGTAAGAACAAAACAATCAGGGGGAGCGGATGGACGGATGGTCGGTTCTGGCAAATGGGGGGCAGAGTGAGGAGGCGGGGCCGGAGGGGTCCAAGCCGCTCCGGAACCTTCCTCCCAGGCCCCTTGGGAGGGAATGGAAGCAAGGCAGGCAGGCTGGGGAGTTGAGGAAGTTGACAGCTCCACTCGGAAAGGAGATTAGGAAGAGATCAATAAATGTCTCAAAAGGTACAAAAAAAGAAGAGAGAAGGAGGCGGGTCAGTAATCCTGCCCAAGGAGCATGGATCTGCTGCAAGATCTGCCTAGAACCAACTAAGGCCTACCTAGAACCGCAGAACTGTAGAGCTGGGGCAGAGCCCAAGGGGGGTCATCCAGGCTTCCTTCTGCAAGGCTGGAAAAGCACAACCAAAGCTCTCCCGGGTGATGGACCTCTCTCCTGCCCTAACCCTTCCCAGCCACCCTCCTAAAGCCTCTGGAAGTACACAAAGCTATGGGAGGATGGGACGGAGATGGGGAAATGGAGCCAAGAAAGGGGCCAGGAGGATAGACCAAGGCTCAGTGGGGGCTATAGAGTGCTGGCGGGAGGAAGGCCTGAATGAGAAGCAACAACAGGAGCCAATTTCCAGTTGCGAACATGTGTTCTCGGCTCACAATGGGCTCACCCTTCACTCGCGTGGCCTGAGGTGCGTAGCGCTCCACGCTCGGACAAGCGCGAGCTTTTGGCTCACGCTCCGTGAAAGGCCCCGTTCCCATTCCTGGGTTCCTCGCTTCGCCCCACAGAGCGAGGGACCCGGGGGGGGGGGGCAATTCCTGTCAGAAATATTCAATATTAACTGAGTATTTTGGATTACGAAAGTGTTAATCCAACACTGAAGGAGTTAGACTGAAGCCTGTTAGAGTTAGTGGGCCAGAACTGGTGTCGCCCTGAGGAGAGTGAGTAGGCCAAAGCCTGTTAGAGTTAGTTTTGCCTCAGTGAGGAAACTCATCAGTCTGTGTGAGGAGGCGTCTGTGTGAGAGTAAAGCCTCATTTGGGGAGCTCCAGTGTGTAAAAAGGTTCTCCTCTGAGAGTTGCTCTGAAGTATATTTCTCAGGCAGGTCTTTTGTTATTAAGGCCACTCACCCAACAAGGGTTATGGGCCCAGAATAGGCTGGGCCAATGGGCCAACATTTTTCCTTCCTTGCTTCCTCCCTTCCTAGAAGGAGCACCTAGTGGCACTGTCCTTCTTCTACACTTCCCTTTCAAGGTGGAACGTAATAAGGAAACATTAGGAGTAATGTCCAAAGAGCTCTATAGCTCCCTTCCTTCTTTCGTCTCACCCAACAATGGTTATGGGCCCAGAATAGGCTGAGCCAATGGCCCAGCACCTTTCCTTCCTTGCTTCCTCCCTTCCTAGAAGGAGCACCTAGTGGCACTGTCCTTCTTCTTCTACACTTCCCCTTTCAAGGAGGAACGTAATAAGGAAACATTAGGAGTAAAGTCCAAAAAGCTCTATAGCTCCCTTCCTTCCTTTGTCTCACCCAACAAAGGTTATGGGCCCAGAATAGGCTGAGCCAATGGCCCAGCACCTTTCCTTCCTTGCTTCCTCCCTTCCTAGAAGGAGCACCTAGTGGCACTGTCCTTCTTCTTCTACACTTCCCTTTCAAGGAGGAACGTAATAAGGAAACATTAGGAGTAAAGTCCAAAAAGCTCTATAGCTCCCTTCCTTCCTTTGTCTCACCCAACAAAGGTTATGGGCCCAGAATACGCTGAGCCAATGGCCCGGCACCTTTCCTTCCTTGCTTCCTCCCTTCCTAGAAGGAGCACAAAATGGCACTGTCCTTCTTCTTCTACACTTCCCTTTCAAGGTGGAACGTAATAAGGAAACATTAGGAGTAATGTCCAAAGAGCTCTATAGCTCCCTTCCTTCTTTCATCTCACCCAACAACGGTTATGGGCCCAGAATAGGCTGGGCCAATGGGCCAGCACTTTTCCTTCCTTGCTTCTTCCCTTCCTAGAAGGGGCACCCAATGCACTGTCCTTCTTCTTCTATGCTTCCTTTTCAAGGTGGAACATAATAAGGAAACAGTAAGAGAAATGTCCAAAGAGCTCTATAGCTCCCTTCCTTCGTCTCACCCAAAAAAGGTTATGGGCCCAGAATAGGATGGATCAATGACCTGGTACCTTTTCTTTTTTGCTTCCTCCCTTCCTAGAAGGAGCACAAAATGGCACTGTCCTTCTTCTTCTACACTTCTCTTTCAAGGTGGAACGTAATAAGGAAACATTAGGAGTAATGTCCAAAGAGCTCTATAGCTCCCTTCCTTCTTTCGTCTCACCCAACAAGGGTTATGGGCCCAGAATAGGCTGGGCCAATGGGCCAGCACTTTTCCTTCCTTGCTAGGGAACACTGTATATATATGCTAGTACAGAAAAAAAATCACATTTGTGGTTAGGAAAGTAAAAGGGAAAAGCAAGTCCTGGAAGCAAGAAGACTCCCAGCGGACTCTCCTTGGCAGCTGCTTTCTAGAGTTTTGCCCACACCAAGCCTTTTCGTGGGGGATCCCCATGCTGATCACACTATGTAACACTATTTGGGAAACGTTCTGTTCCTGGTTTGAAAGTGGTATTTCCTATTTAATGGTGCGGTCCTTACTGTGAAAGTCATCGTTCTACTCCAGAAACTTCATTTTTGTGCCTCTCATAAACTAGACTCAAAGTTGAGATAGTCATTGGAAAACTGGAGCCAAATGCACTTCCCTCCCGCCAAAACAAAGCTTTGCAGTTTGATAAACTTTCTCCTTTTTTCCATGATAGAACCAATTAGGAAATGACATTTATAACCCAGGAACATAAATCATGTCACATAGTGTAATTCAATAACAATAACAACATAATAATGTAATAATTTACAATGCACTACTATTAATAATAATGTCATCATAATAATGAGTTAATAATAATGTAATAATAATAGTTTAATAGTGTAAGAATAGCAATGTAATAATAGTAATGATAATTTAATAATAACAATATTAATATAATTATAATAACAATGTAATCATAGTTTAATAAAGTAATAAAAACAGTAATGATAATTTAATAATAACAATAATAATGTAAGAATAGTATAATAGTGTAATAATAACAACGTAATAATAGTAATGATCATTTAATAATATGAATGTAATAATCATGTAATAATAGTTTAATAGTGTAATAATAACAATGCAATATGGTAATGATAATTCAATAATAACAATATTAATGTAATAATAACAATGTAATAATAGTTTAATAGTGTAATAATAACAATGTAATAATAGTAATGATAATTTAATAATATGAATGTAATAATCATGTAATAATAGTTTAATAGTGTAATAACAGCAACGCAATATAGTAATGATAATTCAATAATAACAATATTAATGTAATAATAACAATGTAATAATAGTAACGATAATTTAATAACAATAATAATAATGTAATACTTTACAATGTACTATTATTAATAATAATGTCATTATAATAATGAGTTAATAATAATGTAATAATAATAGTTTAATAGTATAATAATAACAATGTAATAATAGTAATGATAATTTAATAATATTAATGTAATACTCATGTAATAATAGTTTAATAGTATGATAATAACAATGCAATATAGTAATGATAATTTAATAACAATATTAATGTAATAATAACAATGTAATAATACTTTAATAGTGTAATAATAACAATATAATAATAGTAATGATAATTTAATAACAATAATAATAGTGTAATACTTTACAATGTACTATTATTATTAATAATGTCATTATAATAATGAGTTAATTATAATGTAATAATAATAGTTTAATAGTGTAACAATAACAATGTAATAATAGTAATGATAATTTAATAATGACAATAATAATAATAATAATAATAATAATAATAATTGTCCATGTTTTTATGATGGAGCCAATTAGGAAATGACATTTATAGACCAGGAACTAAAAGTCGTGTGACATGGGGGTTGGACTGGATGGCCCATGAGGTCTCTTCCAACTCTTTGATTCTATGATTCTATGGTGTTATGGGAGTTGTGGCACCAAAATGCACCTGGGAGACGCAAGAGAGGTATGTTTCTTAGGCCACATCCAGGCTGCCATATCAAGCCCAGATCATCTGCTTTGAACTGGATTATATGGCATTGTAATATAATCCAGTCCAGAGCAGCTAATCTGGATTTCATAAGACAGCGTAGTACATGGGGCCTCCACACTGGAGCTTCTCTGAAGGGAGATGAACGGGGCATCCCTCGCTCCCTGCATCTGCCCGCAAGCGCTTCCTTTTTGTGCTGCTGCAGCATCTCCAAAGTATGTTATACAACTCCATACTTTTTCCTTCTGCTTTACCCCGAGGCCAAGGAGAAGAATGGGCTGCCTTGTGAGGCTCACACTGGGGGAAATCGGGTGGGTAATTGTGTGCCTAGCGAGAGTGGGGAGCATGTGCGTGCGGTCGTGCAAGGGTAAGGTTGTGCCCAGCAGCACCACAAGGAACTGGACCAGGAAGGAGAGTCCTGGCGGGAGCTGCACTTCCCCTAAAGCGGCCATGCTTCTTCCTTGCATTCCATTGCAGAAATGTGGGGTGGAGGGCGGCAGTGGACGCATTTCACGCCCCCAAAAGCCAGAGAGCCAATGGGAGTCAGGAAGGGTCAATGAGTAATGAGGCGAGGAACACCCCGTTTCCCACAGAATGCAACCATGGAAAATGAATAAAATCAAGACCAATCTTTTCTCATGGTGACCCAGCTTCCTGGACCTCTTCCCTACAACCGGTGTTTCAGTCCCCGGGAAAGGAGGTGTGCAAAGGTCTACTTTGCTTTTCTATAGCTCTCTCCTTCCGTCCTTCTGTCCTTCCTTCCTTCCTTCCTTCGCTCCCTTTCCTTCCATCCTTCCTTCCCTTTCCTTCCTTCCTCCCTTCCCTCCTTTCTTGCTTCCTTCCCTCCTTTCCTTCTTGCTTGCTTCCGTCCCTCCATGCTTCCTTCCTTCCTGCCTTCCTTCCTTTCTACTTTCCTTCCTTCAATCCTACCTTCCCCTCCTTGGTTGCTTGCTTCCTTCCCTCCATGCTTCCTTCCGTATTTTCTTCCTTCCTTCCCTCTTTCCTTCTTTTGATCCCTATTTCCTTCCTGTCCCTCCCTCCATCCTTCCCTCCCTCCATTCCTCCTTGCTTGCTTGCTTGCTTCCTTCCCTCCTTGCTTTCTTCCATCCATGCTTCCTTCGGTATTCTCTTCCTTCCTTCCTTCCTTCCTTCCTTCCTTCCTTCCTTCCTTCCTTCCTTCCTTCCTTCCCTTTCCCTCCTTCCTTCCTCCCTCCCTTCCCTCCCCCCCTCCTCCTTCCTCTCTCCCTCTTTCCTTCCTCCCTTCCTCCCTTTCCTTCCTTCCTTCCTTCCTTCCTTCCTTCCCTCCTTCCTGTCCCTCCCTCCTTCCCTCCTCCTTGCTTGCTTGCTTCCTTCCCTCCATGCTTCCTTTCTTCCTTCCCACCTTCCTTCTTTCCCTCCTGCCTTCCTTTCTTCCCTCTTTCCTTCCTTCCTTTCTATCTTCCTCCGTCCAATCCTTCCTTCCCCTTCCTTCTTTTCCTTCTCCTCCCTTCCTTCGGTGTTTCCTTTCTTCCCTCCCTCCCTTCCTCCCGCCTTCCTTCCTTCCTTCCCTGCTTGCTTGCTTGCTTGCTTCCCTCCTGCCCTCCTTCCTTCCCTCCCTCCCTCCCTCCCTCCCTCCTTCCTTCCTTCCTTCGTTCCTTCCTTCCTGGGGTACTCAATGGCACCGTCCCTCTTCTTCTACGCCTCCCTTGGAAGGTCCTATCTTTCCAGGCCAACCATGTGGGGCAGTGCGGTGAACACAACAGCAGGCCTCTGAAACAGTCAGCAGCAAGAAGGCGAGCGCTGGAAGGGAAGACACAAACCCCGGAACCCGCCAAGACTCCCGGCCGGCCTCACTCACCTCTTTGCCGGCCTTGGATGCTGCGCAACGCCAAGATGTTTTGCTCGTCCGAGAGGAACTGCTTCATCTTATGGAAGGGCTCCTTGCCCCGCACGGTGAGCTTGTTCCAGGGCTTGGGCCGGGCCAGGATCTCGCTCACGGAGCCCTGCGAGAGGCCCAAGACGTAGTGTCCGAAGATGCGCTGCCCGATATTGTGCTTGATCAGCTGCTCCTTGACCTGGCGGGCGATCTCGGCCGTGTCCATGTCCTCGCCTTCCGAGGCGTTGCTGCCAACGGCGGTGCCATCCGACTGGCTGGGCGAGGGGGCCAAGCCGTTGACGTCGGGGCTTTGTTGCAAGGGGCTTTGGGAAGATATGGAGTTTGTGCTGTAGGGACCTGCTGAAAAAATCATGCTTGTGCTTCCCGCTTCCTGCATGGCCTTGGAGTAGAAGGACTGCATGAGCTGGCGCTGGAGGAGAGAGTTTAGTGCAAATTTTCCCGTAGAAGCCAGGGGTAAGCCGGAGCTTGCCAGGGACGAGCTGAAAAAGTCTTGACTTAAACCCGTTGGTGGGAACTGGTGTGTACCATTAGTATTACTGGAAGCCTGCTCCCCTGCGTTGCGGGGCAACTGAGGAGGAGGAGGAGGAGGAGGAGGAGGGGAGGAGGCCGGCAAAGCTGGAGGACGCTGGCTCTCAGGCTGGTCTTTCCCTTTTCTCCTGGCTGACCCTACAAGGAAGGTCAAACATAATGCATTATGGGGGATCAAAAAAGGGGGGGACAAAAAACCAAGACCAAAATGCAGAGTTTGCCCCACAAACGGGAGAAAAAAGCGCAGGTCGCGTTTTGCTTGTTTTCGTGTTTTGTTTTTTTGTGCGTTTCATTCCAATGAAGGAGGTGGTTTAGGGTCGTCTTTTTGTTTGTTTTTGTTTGTTGATTTTTCGTTTCAATTTTTTAATAAGCCAAACAAGGCCCCCAAGACCAACAACATGCATTTCATGTTTGCACCTTTCTTGTATGTCGCAGCCTGGAGAATCCCCCTTTTTTCAAACATTAGCAGTAGGACAATCGACATGAAGTGCAGTTTATACAATGGCTTTGGTTTCGCTCTTGGAAATACATTGGACACAGGACAAAGAAACGCTGCTGTGCTGTTGCCCCTCCGGCTCATTTGAGTCCTTCTCCCCGCCCCGCATGTAATATACATACGTATATATATATATTTATATACAAGAGACCTCGGCTGAACCCAAACTTAGCCACGTTTTAAGAGACCTTGGAGGAAACCCGTTGGAGAAGAGAAATTGTTGTTTGAAGGATGCCAAAGGACAGCTGTTCAAAATGCCGCAACCAACTAAGTATCCGCTGATACGTTTCCCACCCGCTGACCAGAAAACTCCACCATGCCACCAAACCCGGCTTGTTTATATTTTTGTCGGCGACAGCCCCGCACCCAGGGGCGGCTCAACCATTAAGCAAAGTAAGTATTCGCAGTATAGTTGATTTTGCCCAGGGGTGCTCTTGAGGCGCTCTTGGGGGAAAATAGACCTTGACATATGCAAGTTGTAGTTAATGGGATGTATAGTTCACCTACAATCAAAGAACATTCTGAACTCCACCAATGATGGAACTGAACCAAATATGGCACACAGAACTCCCACGACGAACAGAAAATATATATCAATGATTGGTTGGGAGGGGGGGGGGCAAAATACTGTTTGCTTACCGTTGAAAATTACCTAGGGCCACATCTGCCTGCACCCACTGCTTTTTAGTATGACAGATCAGCAATCCGCACCATGGATAAGAAATCAAACCAAACTGAAAGGCACCACCACGTCAAGGAAAGGACTGGGGATTCAGGCTGTTAACACTCGCAAAGTCTACAAGAGGTTACCCTCCGAAACCCGTTTCAATCTATGCCTTGGGACAAAAAAAAACGAGCACCACAATCGACCGAAACGATCTCACGGCATTCCTTCCAAACCCTTGCAACATCTCCGAATCTTTTCTCGGTGACGTCACGGGGAGGAGGAAGGCGGAGGAAGCCTCCACAATTCAGCTCGCTATAGACAACACTTCCTGTCACAGAGATTGTCTTTCCAGTTCTCCTCTCCCCATCCCTGTCCCTCCCGAAAAAACAGCAGACAAAACGACAACCGTCTTTGGGCCTTTTCCCATCCACTTACCGCTCAAGTCGCTGTTGGTGATGCGTAGCGTGGCGTTCTCCGACTGCAGCAGGCGGTTCTTCTCCAGGAGCAAGACCTCCAAGGGCTTGGAGGCCGCATCCTAAGGAGAGAGGCAAGGAAAGGAAGGGGTCAGTCTGGGGCAGGACACCCAGGCTGGAATTTAGGACGGAGCGCACATCCGGAGATTTGTCACCCCAATTTGGGCACGGCCGCCACCACCGCCCCCCCTCCAAGAGGCAGAATGCCTTTTGTTTTCCGGTGCAGATGGCGTGTCCGCTCTCGAGACGTATTCCTAAGCGCTCCATTAATCATTTCCCTTACACCTGTTTGCCTCGCGACGCGGCGTTATCGCTGCGTATCTTCCCCCCCGAAAACACTGCGTTTCGGCACCGGATAAATTAAATCAGTCGGCAAAGCTGACCCTTTCCCCTTTTGCGCGCGCACGGCTCTCAATCATCAAAACCCACTGGAAATAATAAAAATGCCGGCTGCACGGAGGAAAGGCGACGCCGGGTTGGCGCGGAAGGTGCCGGAAATCCAATTTGTAACCTTTGATCTGACAAGATTAATATGCGACGCGGCCAGAAGTTGTGGGTACGACTCCAACCCCCGCCCTCCAAATCGCTATTGTTTAATTTTAGTTCAGTTGTGCATTTATTTAAACCACTTTGAAAATGCAAGACTTGGGCTTCCATTTTAGCATGGATGCTCACAAAACAAATGGGGGAAAGAAGGCCACGTTCACGTGGAAGCGAAGATTTCCGCTTTGAGTCTCCTTGTGGAGAGAAAAAGCAGGGTATAAACCAGGGGTCCTCAAACGATGGCCCGAGGGCTGGATACGGCCCTCTAATGTCATTTACCCGGCCCTAACTCAGGGTCAACCTACGTCTGAAACAACTTGAAAGCACACAACAACAATCCTATCTCATCAGCCAAAAGCAGGCCCACACTTCCCATTGAAATACTAATAAGTTTATATTTGTTAAAATTATTCTTCATTTTAATTATTGTTTTTGCGTTTTTTGCCCTACAATTAAAATATGTGCAGTGTGCATAGGAATTTATTCATTTTTTTTTCAAATTATAATCTGTCCCTCCAACAGTTTTAGGGACTGTGACCTGGCCCTCTGTTGAAAAGGTTTGAAGAACCCTGGTATAAACAAACATAACAACATTATGAGAGAGCTGTTTAGCTCTCTGTGAGCGCTGTTCAGCAGTGGAACTCTCTACCCCAAAGTGTGGTGGAGGCACCTTCTATGGAGGCTTTTCAACAAAGGTTGGATGGCCATCTGTTGGGGGTGCTTTGAATGGATTTTCTGCTTCTTGGCAGGGGGTTGGACTGGATGGGCTACGAGGTCTCTTCCAACTCTATGATTGTATGAATCTCTGAATCTACAACGACATTTCCAGCCTGCGCTTACGAGGTGGCAAAACACGAACCCACACGAAACCCCTCCGTGCCAACTTCTTGTGGTTATATAAACCCGACGTGGTTTATATAATCACATTTGGCCCTTGTTTGGTTTGGGACCACCAAGAACTGGGTTCCAATCTTCCCATATACTCTCAGGGGATCTGTTCTCCCCCAAAATAGAAAATTCCTGTATCCACATCTCTGTTACAAAAAGGACCAACACTCGTTGCATGGCTCCTTGCCACACAGGTCTGCTTTCTCGTGATGCCAAATTCTATTCCACCTCCCTATCGCCGTATCAAAGGTAGATTCAAAAAGGGAAGGTGAAAACCCAACTTAATCATCAGCCACTGCAAGGGGGGAGGGCCAGGAGAGGATTAATATAATACGACAATATCCAAACAATGGGCCTAAAACTCCTGAAGAACAGAGGTGCCAAAACTTGTTTCCTGCACAATAAAAGGGGTTCTCTTTCCTCCTTTATCCTTTAAGTTACTTTCTCTGCATCGCGAACATTCGTTTATATCTTAAAGGTAGACGAGCGGACTAAAGATCTTACAACGATTATCGAATACAGTAGTCTCGCTAATCCTATCTTCGCTTATCCGACACTAGCTGTACCCGCCACATGTTGCTGTGGCCAACCTTCCCTCCCTCTTTCTCTGCTCCTTTTTCTCTCTCCTTCCTTCCTTCCTTCCCTCTTTCCTTCCTTCCCTCTTTTTCTTTCCCTTCTTCTTTCGTCCTTCTCTACCTGTTTCTTTTCTCACCTCCTTTGCTCTTTGGTTCTATCTTTCCTTGCCTCTTTCCTTTCTTTTCTCCCTCTCTCTTTCTCTCTTTTGTTCCCCCCCCCCCTCTCTCTTTCTCTCCCTCCTTATCTCCTTCCTTTCCCCTTTCTGTGTATGTGTTTTGTGTGTGCATATGTGTGTGTGTGTATTTCTGTATATATTTGTGTATTTGAATAGATGTGGCTTTGCGCATGCGTTGCAATGTATTTTTTTGGGTTTTTTTTGCTTTTTAAGTCTCTTCTGCTGTATTTTTCAGTGTTTTTGTGAGTGATGGTCACTTGTTGGCCTGATAGGTGCCTTGTGTCCAAATTTGGTGTCAATTCATCCAGTGGTTTTTAAGTTTTGTTAATCCCACAAATTAACATTGCATTTTTATTTATGCAGATGGTCATTCGTTGGCCTGAAAGGTGTCTTGTGTCCAAATTTGGTGTCAATTGGTCCAGTGGTTTGTGAGTTATCTTAATCCCACAAACTAACATTATCTATATAAATAAAAATGCAATGTTCGTTTGTGGGATTAACAGAACTCAAAAACCACTGGGCGAATTGACACCAAATTTGGACACAAGACACCTAACAACCCAATGTATGTCTTTCACTCAAAAAATTGATTTTGTCATTTGGGAGTTGTAGTTTCTGGGATTTATAATTCACCTACAATCAAAGAGCATTCTGTACCCTACCAACGATGGAATAGAACCAAAATTGGCACAATTCTCCCATGACCAAAAGAAAATGCTGGAAGGGTTTGGTGGGCAGTGTCCTTTGGTTTTGGAGTTGTAGTTCACCTACATCCAAAGAGCATAGCATGATGGATCTGGACCAAACTTGGCACCAATACTCAATATGCCCAAATGTGAACACTGGTGGAGTTTGGGGAAAATAGAATCTTGACATTTGGAAGTTGTAGTTGCTGGGATTTGTAGTTCACCTACAATCACAGAGCATTCTGAACCCCACCAACGATAGAATTGGGCCAAATCCCCCACACAGAACCCCCATGCCCACTAGAGTGGGCCACAGCAAGGCGTGGCAGGGGACGGCTAGTATAGAATAATTTCAAATTGATAATAATTACACTGTTCTACAAATTTTCAGTTTTTCTCAGTTACGGAAATGAAATGTGCCGTTTCTTAATAAATTTAACATGTTGAATTCAAATATAATAATTAAATGTGTTAATTCGCTCTGGTTTTTATGCAACAGCTATTTCAATTTTCTCCACAAGAACCAATTCGTTAATATTATGATAATGCGCCTAACCTTACTGCATGTATATAAACTGTGAATATTTACTAAATTTTAGTCAAATTATATTGCCAATAGGTTATACATGAGAAATATTTATTTAATTAGTCTATTGTTTATGTTTGTGCAGCAAGAAACTATATGAGTAGGCCCAATGCAGTTGAAAAGTCTGAAAGTCTAAATGTCGCTTTAATCGTGACTTTAGTTTATATCCTGTTTGCTTCTCTTGACTTTTCTTTTGTATTCAAGGAAAGGATTGTCTCTTACAATGCTCCAGCAGGAGTCTGACAGCATTGACGGAGTCCATTTGCCTTGAGATCTTTTTTCCATAGTGCTTTATTTACACACGTGCGAGGCATAACTACAGTAAAAAGAACAATGTAAAACGATGTTTAACGATACTGTCTCAGTCTTCAACTGACTGACCCTCACCGTTCAAACGTCTGGCCTTATAGAGGGCTTTCTGGCTTTTGCACACGGCAACTCATACTGCGTCATCAAACTTTCTAGAGTATTTTAGAATCTTCCATAGTGTAAGTCGCAACATGCATTTTTTCAACCATACGTGATCACGTGATTGCTTATATCATAAAAACTAGAGCCAATATACATTTTTAAATGTCATTTTCGTTTTCAGCACCCCAAAATCATAAAAGAACAGCTATTTTCAGGCCCAAAACTTTTTCTCCGTTGAACAGTGTTATTATAGTGAATGGCCTGATTGAGTTAGGATTTGAATCCAGCTCTTTCCAATCCTTTTCTTTACCCAGAAAGGCCTCCCTCATTACGATTCTGAGAGAACATCCAGCATTTCCCATCCCGCCCCAAAAGCCAAAGCCATGGCCTCATACCTGAGTGCTGGAGCTGTCCGGCAGCGCAAACTCCATTGACTTCAAGATGCTGCAAAAGCGAGAGAAGGAGGAGAGTGATTTTCTGCGCCTTCCTTGCCGGAGAACGCGGCACTAATGAGCATTAACATGGCAATTTTCGGCTCTCCAGGAACACCCTAAGTGATAACTTTAACAACTTTTCTTTGGGAGTCATATAATCTGATAATGAATATAGAATAACTTATTCACACGCGTTATCGGAGAGGAACATGCTCTCCAACGTCCTCTAAATCACGGCATAATGCAGGCCCACCAGGGCCCTTCGGAGCATAAATTGAAAGGTTAATAAGGATATAACATTTTAAACTGTCAGAAACAATATAAATTTATATGCGCAGCGCTTGAAGGGAAAGGAGGGCAAAAAAAAAGGGGGCGGGAGGAAGAGCCATTAGAACAAAGCCGCGCAAAAACAGGCCGCCGCCATTGCCCTCGTAATGATATGAAATGTGGAAAGAGAAATCCAGGCAAAACAGACCCGCTTGTGGATCAAGGCCAATGCACGGAGCATTATGCGCGTGATCCAACACAACGGGCTTAAGGGAACGGAGCTCCGTTGCTTCTCATTTCCATAATCAAGGCCAGCAAATGGCTCGGTGCTTCTGAAGATCCACCAAACGCCTGGAAATCACAAACGCGTCAAACGCACTCCTTTCGCCAACAAAACATACGACAATATAAATGAAAGGAGATGGAAATAAATATAATGATATATTTCAATTTTTTTAAAAAGGTTAAAAAATACGGATTTGGAGGCCTTGACCAGCTTCGCATTAATCACATTATTATTATTATTATTATTATTATTATTATTATTATTATTATTATTAAAAGTATTGTTGTTGTTGTTATTAATAAGTAACAATCAATAGTAAACAAATAATAAATAAATAATAAAATAACTAATAGTAACAAACAACAGCAATAATATTGTTGTTGTTATTAATAGTAATAATTAGTAACAAACAATAGTAAATAAATAATAAAATAAATAATAGTAAACAAATAATAGTAACAATCCACAACAGCAATAACATTTTTGTTGTTGTTATTATTAAAAGTAATAATTAGTAAAAAAACAATAGTAACAGTAAACAAATAACAGTAACAATCCACAAAAGCAATAATATTTTTGTTGTTATTATTAATAGTAATAATTAGTAACAAACAATAGTAAACAATAAATAAATAATAGTAAACAAATAATAGTAACAATCCACAACAATATTTTGTTATTATTATTAATAGTAATAATTAGTAAAAAATAATAGTAACAGTAAACAAATAACAGTAACAATCCACAAGAGCAATAATATTTTTGTTGTTGTTGTTATTAATAGTAATAATTAGTAATAAACAATAGCAAACAAATAATTAAATAAATAAAATAAATAATAGTAAACAAATAATAATAACAAACAGCAATAATATTTTGTTGTTGTTATTATTATTAGTAATAATTAGTAACAAACAATAGCAAACAAACAAACAAATAATAAAATAAATAATAAAAACAAATAATAGTAACAAACAACAGCAATCATATTTTTGTTTTTAATATTATTAATAGTAATAATTAGTAACAAACAATAGTAAACAAATGATAAATAATAAAACAATAAAATAAATAATATTAAACAAATAATAGTAACAAACAACAACAACGATTTTTGTGTGATTGATGTGAACTTGGCTCGGACTTTTAGGGGGACATCTATACACACAATAAAAGTGAACATATGTGTGTGACCACACCACTATGGTGTCCACTTAAACAGACAAGCTCCCACTTCCACAGACAGCTCTAGCTCCCACTTCTCAGGAGACCTCAATGGCCCTCCCTCCAATGACATTGCAGGTTATAGTGAGCGCCACGAACATGTCCAAGAGCCCTGCCAATGTCCCCCCACCAACACCATCCTGCCCACCACCCAAGTGAAGAGGACCCTTTCATCCAAGATTTTATGTTTTTACTCCACCACAGACATCCCAGTGTTTCTGACTCTCTCCATCGGTGCAGAATTTGCATGACTCCACCCACTGACTCTCCCTTAACCCTTTCCTGGAGCAAACTTGGCACACAGACCTGATATGCCGAAAGTTAATTACTGGAGGGGTTTGGGGGGAACAGACCTTTCTTTCTGGGAATTGTAGTTCACCCACAACCAGGGAGACCGTGACTTCCACCAATGATGGACCTGGACCAAACTTGGTACACAGAACCTCCATGACTAACTCAACCTACTGGACACTTTATGGGTGAATGACCCACCTTTCCTGGAATGGCTCCAAGCTAGGCAATGCTGGGATTTGTAGTTTGGCCTTGAACCAAATGTTAAGCCCAAGCCAAAGGGGAAGGTGCCTGGCTCAATGCTCTGGGCTCCTGGGACTGGGAGTTGGGTGAGGCATGGCAGGCACACTTACGTCAGTTCTTTCTTGACCTCCTCATAATCCGCTTGCACCTTCAGTTTTTCTTCCAGTTGCTTCAAGTCAAATCAAAAGAAAAGATCAGATCAATACTCAACCATCTGGCCTTCCCATCACTCACCCCCACTCCCCCAAAGACATGGCTCAACGATGGCGAAACATGGCAGAAAATGTACAGCTTTACTGATGTATCTGCATATTTATCTGCCTACTTTCTCCTTTCTGCAGCTCTGGGGGGGGGGGGGGCTCCCTCACAATGCCTCCATGACAACATGGCTCTCTTGGGGGCTCTTTCCTTCCTTTCTCCCTTCCCCTCATACATACACATGCCACCTGCTTTTTTCCCCAGCAACATCAGAGGGCCACTCCACCTAACAACAGCCAAACCAGAGACATCACAGAGGGCCACTTCACCTATCTAGTGACATCAGAGGGCCACTCCACCCAGCAACAGCCAATTCAATGGAACCACAGGGGGCCATTCCACCTATCTATTGACGTCAGCGGGACACCTCACCTAACCAACTCAGTGACATCACAGTGGGCCACCCCACCCAGCAAGTCAACCCGGTGACACTATGGTGGGCCACTCTACCTATCAAGTGATATCACAGGGCCACTCCACCCAGCCAATCCAGTGACACCGTAGAGGGTCATATCACCCAGCAACAGCCAATCCAGTGATATCAGAGGGCCACTTTACCTATCTAGTGAGATCAAAGGGCCACTCCACCTATCTAATGACATCAGAGGGCTATTCCACCTAACAACCCAGAGGCATCGCAGAGGGCCACTTCACCCAGCAACAGCCAATTCAATGGAACCACAGGGGGCCACTCCACCTATCTTGACATCAGAGGAACACCCTACCTAACCAACCCAGTGACATCACAGTGGGCCACCCCACCCAGCAACAGCTAACCCGGTGACACTATGGTGGGCCACTCCACTTATCTAGTGATATCAGAGGGCCGCTCCACCCAGCCAACCCAGTGACATCGTAGAGGGCCATGCCACCCAGCAACAGCCAACCTAGTGACATCAGAGGACCAATTTACCTATCTAGTGACATCAAAGGGCCACTCCACCCAGCAACAGCTAATCCAGTGACACCACAGAGGGCCAATCCACCTATCTAGTAACATTAGAGGGCTACTCCACCTAACAACCCAGAGGCATCGCAGAGGGCCATGCCACCTAGCAACAGCCAATGCAGTGGAACCACAGGGGGCCACTCCACCTATCTACTGACATCAGAAGGACACCTCACGTAACCAACCCAGTGACATCACAGTGGGCCACCCCACCCAGCAACAGCCAACCCGGTGACACTTTGGCGGGCCACTCTACCTATCCAGTGATATCAGAGGGCCATTCCACCCAGCCAACCCAGTGACATCGTAGAGGGCCATGCCACCCAGCCTGCCCAGAGACATAAGAGGGCCAATCCAACCAGCAACAGCCAACCCAGTGACATCAGAGGGCCACTTTACCGATCTAGTGATATCAGAGGGCCACTCCACCCAGCCCACCCAGAGACATAAGAGGGCCAATCCACCCAGCAACAGCTAATCCAGTGACACCACAGAGGGCCACTCCACCTATCTAGAGACACCAGAGGGCCACTCCACCTACCCAACCCATCAACATCACAGAGGGCCACTCCACCCAGCAACAAACATGCATACATATATGAGATATCTTTTATCTTACTCTTGTTTGCCAGTGTGATAAGCTTTTCAGGGCACCAGCATACACACACACACATACACAACTACTTTCATGTACACCCCATTTACTCGGATCTAATGCTCACCTTGTTTGGGCTAAACTGCCTTGCCAAAACTAGGGTGCACATTCGATTCGCGCCTTACGGTCCTCTTAGTGCTGAGCCAAAGCAATAGGGGAAGCTGCTTCCGGAGCTCCTCTTTGAGGGACACCATCTCTAATGAAATGGCCAGAGCTTGACACTATGCATTCTGGGATTTGTAGTTTGGTGAGGCATCGGCATCTTTGTGGCAGAGAAGTCTTAAGGCCTTACGAAAGCTACATCCCCCATTGAACCATACTTTAGAATCGGAGGTACGCCTTAGTTTCCATTGCGCACGAGACTCGAGTCAATACGATATTTAATTTTCCGACGTTTGCAATGGGCAGCTTCCCAGGCCCCCCAAGGGCATCCTCACCTTCAGCGTGCTGTTCTTGGCCGTCAGCTGCTGCTCCAGTTGGGAGATCTGGCTGGTGGAGTTCTCCCGGAGTTTGGAGAGGTTGCCTTGCAGCCGCTGCACGTCTTCCACCAACTGCGCGATCTCGCGCTCCTTGGCCGCCAGCTCCGCTTCCAGGCTGGAGCGCGTCAGCACCTCGATCGCCTGCTCCTGGAGGGAGGGGCACAACGGGAAGGGGTGAGGGTCCGGCGCTGGCAACGCCTGGAGGGGCTCGGGGAGGGGTTCACCCCAATGCCCCAGAGTTTGGCGAGGAACCCTTCTTTCTCAAGATGCACCTCCAATGCCATCCTGCAAATAGTTTAGCCAGCTGATAACGGTGAGGTTTGTGGGGGGTTCTGTGGGTGCCCACACAGAGGGGGTGTGGAGCAAGATGGTTCTCCAGTTGGGAAAACGGAGGGGGTTTCGGAGCAAGAGTGTGGGAATTAAATTGCTTTGGAAGCTGACAGGCAGGGAAGGGAGGATAACATTAGCTCATCCAAAGAAGCAGCTGGCTAAGACGGAGATACCAGGTTGCTCCTGTGGGGGAAGAATCATAAAATCATAGAATCCTAAAGACGGAAGAGACCTCATGGGCCATCCAGTCCAACCCCATTCTGCCAAGAAGCAGGAAGATCACATTCAAAGCACCCCTACAGATGGCCATTCAGCCTGTTTCAAAGCCTCCAAAGAAAGAGCCTCCTGGACAGAGAGTTCCACTGCTGAACGGCTCTCACACTCAGGAAGTTTTTCCTAATGTTCAGATGGAATCTCCTTTCTTGTAGTTTGAAGCCATTGCTCCACTGCGTCCTAGTCTTCAGGGCAGCAGAAAACAAGCTTGCTCCCTCTTCCTCCCTATCACATCTCGATCTCTGCCCCCATCATGTCTCCTCTCAGCCTTTTCTTCTTCAGGCTAAACATGTCCAGCTCTTTAAGCCGCTCCTCATAGGGCTTGTTCTCCAGACCCTCAATCATTTTAGTCACCCTCCTCTAGAAACATTCCAGCTTAGAGTCAACATCTCCCTTCAATTATGGTGCCCAGAACTGGAGACAATATTCCAGTTGTGGTTCAACCAAGGCCGAATAGAGCATGGGGAGCATGCCTTCCCTGGATCTAGACACTAGAGTCCTATTTCATACAAATGGCATGGAATATTTGCCGCGTATGTGTACTTGTGATCCGCCTTGAGTCCCCTTCGGGGTGAGAAGGGCGGAATATAAATAAAGTGTTATTATTGGGTTGTTGTAGGTTTTTTTGGGCTATATGGCCATGGTCTAGAGACACTGCCTAGAGAATGCCTCTAGACCATGGTCATATAGCCCAAAAAAACCTACAACAACCCAGTGATTCCAGCCATGAAAGCCTTTGACAATAAAGTGTTGTTGTTATTATTATTATTATTATTATTATTATTATTATTATTATTTTACTGATATGAAAACACAGTATGTCACAGCAAATGAGATCTATATGCTGGATTTCGTATCACAAAATTATTATTATTATTATTATTATTATTATTATTATTATTATTATTTTACCGACATGAAAACACAGTATGTCACAGCAAATGAGATCTATAATGTTGGATTTTGTATCACAAAATAATAATTATTATTATTAATATTTGAAACACAACAAAATGAGTCCACAGCAGACAAGATCACTCTGCTGGCTGTTGAATTGGATCACACGTCGGACACTTCCCAAGTATTTAGGACTGTGCGATGTATCGACGAATAATATGTGCAGATCCCAGTAAGGTGGCCTTCAGCAGCTGGTAAATTTGTCGGCGGTGATTGTGTTTAAGTGCAGGCCAAAGTCTTTAGGCACTGCACCCAGTGTGCCGATCACCACTGGGACCACCTTGACTGGCTTGTTCCAGAGTCTTTGCAGATCAATTTTTAAATCCTCATATCGTGTCATTATTATTATTATTATTATTATTAATAAATAATAATAATAATAATAATAATTAATTATATAACTATATAATAATTATATTATTATTATTATTATTATTATTATTATTATTATTATTATTATTATTATTATACTGCTGGTCCTCTGCCATTATCACAGCATACTACTTTCTGGTTTTCCCAAGGTGTCCATAGACACCTTGGGACCATTTGGCCCAGTGGATAATGGTAATTTTGCCAGCGCTGATTGTGTTTAAGTGCAGGCCAAGGTCTTTAGGCAATGCACCCAGTGTGCTGATCACCACTGGGACCACCTTGACTGGCTTGTTCCAGAGTCTTTGCAGATCAATTTTTAAATCCTCATATCGTGTCATTATTATTATTATTATTATTATTATTATTATTATTATTATTATTATACTTATACTGCTGGTCCTCTGCCATCATCACAGCATACTACCTTCTGGTTTTCCCAAAGTGTCCATAGACATTAATTTGGCCCAGTGGATAATGGTAATTTTGTCAGCGCTGATTGTGTTTAAGTGCAGGCCAAGGTCTTTAGGCAATGCACCCAGTGTGCCAATCACCACTGGGACTAACTTTACTGGTTGTTGTTATTATTATTATTATGACCATATATATATATATTTTAAAAACGCAAAACAGCGAGTCCGTGAAAAGCGAACCACGAAGTAGCGAAGGAACACTGTATATATCTGTGTGTATACGTGTGCCTCCTGCCTCTTACCACATCCGGTGCTTTCTGGATTTGGGTCGCCAGCTGGAGAGATTTGTTAGCAGACGCGAGCTGCTCCCGCAAGGACTCGGCCTCTCTTTGCGCCACCTCTGCCCTCTAGAAGGAAGGAATCAGAAGGGGGAGAATGAAATTTCGGGAGGAGGAGTGTACATTTGATAGAACAACTGGCAATTATTGCAGAAACATTCATCAATCCACGCCCGACTGAATATAATTGATTTTCCTAAACACTCAACCTAATATAAATGATGGGGAGGGGGGGGGAATGGGGGGCATTCTCTGAATGTGATGGATTTTTATTTTAAACAGTACAAGGAAGGCATAATTGAGCGATTATGACAGTAATTTAACGCTAGGAGCAAGGAATCCCCTGCCGACACAAAAGGCTGCGGCCCACTGCATTTCCCAGGCGGAATGAATGAGTGAATGAATGCCACTGGAAATGGAATCCCTTTGATTCAATTGCCTCCTGTGCTCCCAGCCAAAGCCGGCCCTCGCGGGAATCGTTCTCACGCGCAAACGCAGCAGCGTTCAGAGCGCAGCGGCCCCTTCCGCATGAACGGAACACAATGCGCGCTGGCTTCGGTTCGGGTTTTCCAGAGGCTGCGATCTTCCATCAGGGCCCGTCTTGCTTTCTTTTCGGTATTCCCTCCCCAAAGGTTTCACATCTGGCTCAATCCATGGCCCTTGAGACATTGTGGGACACTGGCCGTCCCACTTTGTCACCCATTTTGGCAACGGGAGTTGTAGTCCTTACTTACTTAGTTGATCCTTCGTTGTCTGAGTAGGATCAGTGTACTGGTGGCAGGTCCGTAGGTGACTGACCTGCATTTTCTCCCGCAATGAGAGCATTGGTTTCCAAGTGGAAGGCGGTCCCGGTCGGGGTTGGCTTGACACACCTTCCTCTTGGCACGTTTCTCTCTTTCCCCCTCTTCAAATTCTACAGCACTGCTGGTCACAGCTGACCTCCAGCTGGAGTGCTCAAGGGCCAGGGTTTCCCAGTTCTCAGTGTCTATGCCACAGTTTTAAAGCTTGGCTTTGAGCCCACCTTTCAATCTCTTTTCCTGCCCACCAACATTCCCTTTTCCATCTTAACACCTCTCAACAAAAGATTTTCCCAGGCTCAGCCAGGCCTTCAAATGCTAATGAAGGTCATCAGTTGAAACATTCACACCTAGCTCCAGCAGAGAAGAGCTCTTTGCCCCACCCCAGCCATTCCACAGATATATAAACCCATTGTCCTAATTCCAACAGACCTCACTACCTCTGAGGATGCTTGCCATAGATGCAGGCGAAACGTCAGGAGAAATGCCTCTAGAACATGGCCCTATAGCCCGAAAAAATCCACAAGAACCTAATATTCCCTTTTCCGTTCTTGAGTTCAGAGTAGAGCAACTGCTTTGGGAAACGGTGGTCAGGCATCCGGACAATGTGGCCAGTCCAGCGGAGTTGATGGCGGAGGACCATCGCTTCAATGCTGGTGGTCTTTGCTTCTTCCAGCACGCTGACATTTGTCCGCTTGTCTTCCCAAGAGATTTGCAGGATTTTCCGGAGGCAGCGATGATGGAATCGTTCCAGGAGTTGCATGTGACGTCTGTAGACAGTCCACGTCTCGCAGGCATGTAGCAGGGTTGGGAGGACAATAGCTTTATAAACAAGCACCTTTGTATCCCTATGGATGTCCCGGTCCTCAAACACTCTCTGCTTCATTCGGAAAAATGCTGCACTTGCAGAGCTCAGGCGGTGTTGTATTTCAGTGTCAATGTTGACTTTTGTGGAGAGGTGGCTGCCAAGGGAGCGGAAATGATCAACATTTTCTAATGTTATGTCTTTAAGCTGTATTTCAGGGCCTTCTCAGTGGTGGCCCCTCGGCTGTGGAATGCCCTACCTGCAGACATCAGATCGGCCCCCTCGCTGTTGGCGTTTTGGAGGAAGGTGAAGACCTGGCTATTCGAACAAGCGTTTGACTAAACAGTGAAATTGAACATAGGAATACAGAACAATGGATAATGAGAGTGGATTCTGATTTTATTGTTGAGGCGTTATGATTGTTATACTGTTGTTAATTGTTGATGTTATAATCTGTTCTAATTGCATTACACTGTTTTGTGATATTTTGCATTGTTGTGTAAACCGCTTTGAGTCGCCTAAGGGCTGAGAAAAGCGGTATAGAAATAAAGTAAATAATAAATAAATATTTCTGGCATTGGAGAGGGATTGGCCGGTGACTGCTGGAAGAGCACTTTGGTTTTCTTGATGTTCAGTGACAGGCCGAGCTTCTCATATGCTTCTGCGAGTGGCATGTAGGTCTTCTTCTGAATAAGCACAGACGACGTTGTCATCAGCATATTGGAGTTCTATAACGGATGTTGTTGTAACCTTGATTTTGGCTTTTCAGTCTGCTTGCCATCTGTCCAATAGATAATTTCCACTTCCCGTCACATTGTAGTCCAAAATGGTCTGGAGGGACATGGGCTTCATTAGGAATGCACGGGAGCAGCCGTGATACCCTTTCTGTCTTCTCCAAAACACGGCATGAAATTGGCAACGGAGAGCCGCATGGAATCATAGAATTATAGACTCAGAAGAGACCTGGTGATTGATCATCCAGTCCAACCCCATTCTGCCAAGAAGCAGGACAATTGCATTCAAAGCACCCCCGACAGATGGCCATTCAGCCTCTGTTTCAAAGCCTCCAAAGAAGGAGCCTCCACCACATTCCAGGGCCACCACCAAGAAGGCCCTGTTTTTGTCCCCATCAGTCACACTTGCAAGTGGGGTGGGACTGAGAATGGGGCCTTCCCAGAAGTTCTCAATCTCTGAGGTGGATTATAGAGGGAGATACGTTTGGACGGGTACACTATTATTACACTATGTAGCAAAATTTGAAAAAAAAATCTGTTTCTGGTTCAAAAGTGTTGGAATCATAGAATCCTAGAGTTGGAAGAGACCTCGTGGGCCATCCAGTCCAACCTCATTCTGACAAGAAGCAGGAAAACTGCATTAAAGCACCCCCAACAGATGGCCATCCAGCCTCTGCTTCAAAGCCTCCAAAGATGGAGCCTCCACCACACTCCAGGCAGAGAGTTCCACTGCTGAACATAGAATCAGAGAATCGTAGAGTTGGAAGGGACCTTGTGGGCCATCCAGTCCAACCCCATTCTGCTAAGAAGCAGAAAAAATTCGTTCAAAGCACCCCCAACAGATGGCCATCCAGCCTCTGCTTCAAAGCCTCCAAAGATGGAGCCTCCACCACACTCCAGGCAGAGAGTTCCACTGCTAAACATAGAATCAGAGAATCTGAGAGTTGGAAGGGACCTTGTGGACCATCCAGTCCAACCCCATTCTGCTAAGAAGCAGGAAAATTTTGTTCAAAGCACCCCCAACAGATGGCCATCCAGTCTCTGCTTCAAAGCCTCCAAAGATGGAGCCTCCACCACACTCCAGGGCAGAGAGTTCCACTGTTGAACAGCTCTCACAGTCAGGAAGTTCTTCCTAATGTTTTAGTGGAATCCCGTTTCCTGTAGTTTGAAATGTTATTTCCTGTTTGTGCCGTTTCTCCATGTTTTTGACAGAAACAAATAGGAAATTACATTGATAACACAGGGGAAAAAATCGTGTGACATCATGTTATGGTGGTTATTACTATTATTGTATTGCCTGCTTTGAAATCCTACCTGATTCGCTCTTTCAAGGTCCGTCATGATCATCTCGATTTCATCCGACCTGTGAGGAAACAGAAGCAGAGACCGATTGTCTATCACTGAGTCCAATGACGGGAGAGTCCCAGAGACCTGACACTGGATCCACTTGAATGGAGGATGACGCCGCAAAGAGAAGGTTCATGAGAACTTGGGGGAGGGTGACACCTAAGAACCCACGTGGCATAAGCTTAATTCTATCCTTCACGATCAATCTGACTTTACTGCTGTACTGAAGGGTTTCTCAACCTTCTGAATGCCGTGACCCCTTAATGTAGTTCTTCTTGTTGTGGTGACCCCCAACCAGAACATTATTTTCGTTGCTACTTCACAACTGTCATTTTGCTATGTAAATATCTGATATGCAGGATGGATATTCATTCACTGGTCCAAATTGGGCACAAATACCCCCTTACTGGTGGGGTTGGAGGGGATTGATACTGTCATTTGGAAGCTGTAGTTTCTGGGATTTGTAGTTCATTTACAATCAAAGAACATTTTGTACTTCACCAATGATGGAATTGACCCAAACTTAGCACACTGAACTCCCCATGACCAACAGAAAATACTGGAAGGTTTGGTGGGCACTGACCTTGAGTTTGGGAGTTGTAGTTCACCTACGTCCAGAGAACACTGTGGACTCAAACAATGATGGATCTGGACCAAACTTGGCACAAATACTCAATATGCCCAAATTTGAATACTGGTGGAGTTTGGAGAAAAATATCTTGACATTTGGGAGTTGTGGTTGCTGGGATTTATAGTTCACCTCCCATCAAAGAGCATTCTGAACCCCACCAAACGATGAAATTCAACCAAACATTGCAAACAGAACTCCCATGACTAACAAAATACTAGAAGGATTTTGTGGGCATTGACCTTGAGTTTGGGAGCTGTAGTTCACCTACATCTAGACAGCACTGTGGACTCAAAGAATGATGGATCTGGACCAAACTTGGCACAACACTCAATATGCCCAAATGTGAACACTGGTGGAGTTTGAAGAAAATAGACCTTGTCATTTGGGAGTTGTAGTTTCTGGGATTTATAGTTCACCTACAATCAAAAAGCATTCTGAACCCCACCAATGATGGAATTCAATCAAACATTGCACACAGAACTCCCACGACTAACAAAATACTAGAAGGATTTTGTGGGCATTGACCATGACTTTGGGAGTTGTAGTTCACCTACATCCAAAGAGCACTGTAGATTCAAACAAGGATGGATCTGGGCCAAACTTGGCACAAATACTCAATATGCCCAAATATGAACACTGGTGGAGTTTGGGGAAAATAGACCTTGACATTTGGGAGCTGTAGTTTCTGGGATTTATAGTTCACCTACAATCAAAGAGCATTCTGAAACTCACCAACTAAATAATTGGGCCAAACTTCCAAGATAGAACTCCCATGACCAACAGAAAATACTGGAAGTGTTTAGTGTGTATTGACCTTGAGCTTGAGAGCCTACATCCACCTACATCCAGAGAGCACTGTACACTCAAACAAGGATGGATCTGGGCCAAACTTGGCACAAATGCTCAATATACCCAAATATCAACACTGGTGGAGTTGAAATTGCAACAAACATGAGACATAGAACTCCCATGACCAACAGAAAATACTGGTTGGGTTTGGTGGGCATTGACCTTGAGTTTTGGAGTTGTAGTTCACCTACATCCAGAGAGCACTGTGGTCACAAACAATTATGGATCTAGACCAAACTTGGCATGAATACTCAATATGCCCAAATACTGGTGGAGTTTGGGGAAAATAGACCTTGACATTTGGGAGCTGTAGTTACTGGGATTTATAGTTCACGTCCAATCAAAGAGTATTCTGAACCCTACCAACGATGGAATTGGGCCAAACTTTCCACACAAAACCCTCATGATCAACAGAAAATACTGTGTCTTTTGATGGTCTTTGGTGACCCCTCAGACGTCCTCTCGTGACCTCCCCCAGGAGTCCGAACCCGCAGGTTGAGAAATGATGCTGTAATGGGTCAGCCTTACATTAGGCAGGGAAAGACAAGAAAGGCACAGATATAGGACAGGAGACACTCGGCTTGAAAATAGCCCATGGAGATGGGTTGGGGAGTCTTAGTGGACATGAGGCCAATGAGAGGAAAGGCCCTGCTTTTCATGATTCCAGGCACCCACCAGTGGCCCGTCCAATTTGTTTGGGGTCCCTCAATGTCTTTCTGCTTCTTATCTCGAGGTGCCACCGCTCTGAAAGTGTCGCCAGCACACCTCACACGTCGAAGCAACCGTGTACGGCGCTTCAAAGAGAACCTCCCCATGGCGCAGCGGAACAGCCGAGGGTCGAAATGTTCCCGCTGCGTTCTTGAAGCGACAAGAAACACTTTAAGTAGAATAATGGATTAAATTGCATTGATGGGCAAGCTGGGACAGCATTCCGGAGGATCTTCAAAAGGATTCCTCCTTCTTTCACACTTCCGAGGGCAAAACGCCGCATCGGGAGCTGGCACTCGGAAGCCTGAAATCAGCAATTTCGCAAAGTCTCGTAATAGCGACGTTTCCCTGCGCGCACAAAAAGTTGTGTTATAAAACCAGTTCCGATTCATCTTTTTTATGAGCCGCAACGCCTCGGTCGTTCTCAATATGTCATCGGGATTAATAGACACAAGCAGCTGGCTTTTCTCAGGCTGTGAAGCTTCCTTCACAAGAGAGAAGAAACAATGCCCGCTGGCCACTCTTTGGTGCCCACAGGTTCCAGAATCTCCTCCACGGCACCAGATTGGCACAGGCCGGGATTGGGATCAGTGGCCTTCCCGTTGCCAACCCGAGAGTTTCCTCAAGTTGCTCTGGCCTGACGAGATGCATCACGTGGAGATGAACTCCACCTGTATATTGGAGATCCATATACAGTGTTCCCTCGCTACTTTGCGGTTCGCTTTTCGCGGACTCGCTGTTTTGCAGTTTTTCAATAAATATGAATTTAAAATATTTTAAATATTAAAATATATTAAAATAAATTAAATATAATTTCATAATTTAATAATAAATTAAATATAATATATTAAAATATTTTAAATATTCTCCCCCACTACTTCCACGCACCCTCTCAGTCCTGAGCCCTGACGACCCCACATGGATTTGGTGGTCATGGTTGGTTAAAATCATTTATTTATTTATTTCGAACATTTTCACCCGCCCTTCTCAACCCCTGGGGGGACTCAGGGCGGCTTACAATTGGCAATAATTCAATGCCGCATCATAAAATACAGAATAACAAATATAACAATTAAACATGAACATTAATAAATAAAGATTAAAACAGTATACTTACACTCTGATTAGCTATTGCCCGTCTGGTGGCTGTTTAGCTAGCCATCTACTAATGATTACTCCGCTTAACTTATCCAAATCCTCTTCCATGCCATAGTCAACATTATCAATTGTCCTTTAACCTGATTGCCCGAAGGCCTGGTCCCACAGCCATGTTTTAACCTTTTTTCTAAAGGTGAGGAGGGATGACAATGACCTAATTTTCCCAGGGAGCACATTCCACAGGCAGGGGGCCATCACCAAGAAGGCCCTGTCCCTCGTCCCCGCCAAGTGTGTTTGAGACATACCCTCTGACACCATGTTTCCCAGCGCAGCCACCATACTGACAGGGAGGCGGGGGGGGGGGGGCGCGGGGGGGGGGGGAAGGAGGAAGAGAGGAAGATGAAGAAGGAGTGCATAAGCGGAGAAGGAGGAGGGGAAAGAGGTGGAGGAGGAGGAGGAAGGGAGGGAGAGCTAGGTGTGCAAGGAGGAGCCAATGGGAAGTGTGGTGTGCAAGGGGAGGAAGGGAGGATGGGAGAGGGAAAGAGGAGAGGAAAGGGATTGAGTGAGTGAGAGGGAGGAAGAGGAGAGGGCGGAGCCACTCCTAGGAGGGGACAGTCTAAAAGTTGCTGCTCAACTAAAGTGACTGAAGGATTTTGTTTATAAGGTAAAGGAAAAGGGTTATGTAGTGTATAAGTGTGTGGGGAGGTTGTGGGGAGGGTTTGTAAAGATTTCAAATAGTGTGTAACTACTAAAATCTATATAAATAAAAATGCAATGTTCATTTGTGGGATTAACAGAACTCAAAAACCAGTGGGCCAATTGACACCAAATTTGGACACAAGACACCTGACAACCCAATGTATGTCCTTCACTCAAAAAATGTTGATTTTTGTCATTTGGGAGTTGTAGTTGCTGGGATTTATAGTTCAACTACAATCAAAGAGCATTCTGAACTCCACCAATGACGGAGTTGAACCAATCTTGGCACACAGGGGTCCCATGACCAACAGAAAACACTAGAAGGGTTTGGTGGGCATTGACCTTGAGTTTGGGAGTTGTAGTTCACCTATATCAAGACTCAAACAATGATGGATCTGGACCAAACTTGGCACGAATACTTCATGTGCCCAAATATGAACACAGATGGAGTTTGGGGGAAATAAACCTTGACATTTGGGATTTGTAGTTACTGGGATTTATAGTTCACCCACAGTCAAAAAGCATTCTGAACCCCACAAACGATAGAATTGGGACAAACTTCCCACACAGAACTCCCATGGCCAACAGAAAATACTTAAGGCCATCCAGTCCAACTCCCTTCACCATGGCAAGATAACGTAATGAGTTCTCCTGACAAAGAGCCATCCAGCTATAGATATAGATAGATATGATTCACACACACAGAGATATAGTATCATATATTTGAAAAGGGCCCCTAAAGAAGGACAATGATATGTTGCATTTTCCAGAGTAGGCAAACCAGACACTCTCCACATCAACGCTGACAAAGAAACAGCAAGAAATACTGTTTACCCACAAGCATCAAGAAATTACATATATTAGAAACCAACACTTTCTCATTACTTTGTTTTCCAGATCACCAGACTGGGCCACAGCAACGCGTGGCAGGGGACGACTAGTAATGTATAAATATCAAAAGAAATAGACCATCCCTACTTTGTGGGGATGGTCCTGGAATGTAACAATCCTTAGAATGTGTCCTTTAACTA